ACTGCTGCGTCTGCTCTCGTTGCTGAGCTTGTTGACTTTGCTGCCGCCTGTCGTCTAGACTACGCCGCTAGTCTTGTTGCTGAGTCTGAGTCTGCGTCTGTTTGTCCTCCGTCCGTCGGGGATGAGTGTGCTCTTGGCACGGACGTCCTTGAGGACAGACAGGAGGAGTTTGAGTGCTTTGCCGCTGCTTTACCTCATCTCGTGTCCATGCTGCTTGCCCCTGAGGGAGACCGGGATGCACCAGACATCCCGACCCCGCGCTCTCAGTGGCAGACAGCCATGGACACAGAGATGGCTTCTTGGAAGTCCACAGGCACCTACGTCGACGAGGTTCCCCCGCCTGGGGCGAACATCGTCAGTGGCATGTGGATTTTCAGGGTGAAGCGGCCGCCGGGTTCTCCGCCTGTCTTCAAGGCGCGTTACGTTGCACGAGGCTTCAGACAGCGACAGGGAGTTGACTTCTTCCATACCTTCTCCCCTACCCCGAAGATGACCACTCTTCGGGTGCTGCTGCACGTCGCCGCTCAGCGTGACTACGAGCAACACTCTTTTGACTTCAGCACAGCCTTCCTACAGGGCAGCCTGCACGAGGAGATCTGGCTGCGCCGCCCACCTGGCTTCACTGGGTCGTTTCCTCCTGGTACCCAGTGGAGCCTCCGGCGGCCAGTCTACGGTCTCCGCCAGGCACCCCGTGAGTGGCACGACACACTGAGGACGACTCTTGCTTCTCTTGGGTTTGCTCCTTCCACTGCTGACCCGTCGCTGTTTCTTCGCACTGACACCACTCTGCCGTCGTTCTACGTTCTCGTGTACGTAGACGACTTAGTCTTTGCTACTGCTGACACTGAGGCACTCGCCCACGTGAAGTCGGAGCTGCAGAAGAGACACACGTGCACAGACCTGGGTGAGCTGACAAGCTATCTTGGCTTGCGGATCACCCGGGATAGAGCACAGCGCACCATTACCTTGACTCAGTCACACATGGTGCAGCAGGTCCTTCAGCGCTTCGGCTTCACGTACTCCTCGACACAGTCCACTCCTCTGCCTACCGGTCACTCGCTCTCAACTCCACCTTCGGACGAGTCCGTAGAGCCGAGTGGCCCGTATCCAGAGCTTGTGGGCTGCCTCATGTACCTGATGACCTGCACTCGACCTGACCTTGCCTACCCTCTTAGCATTCTAGCACGCTATGTCACTCCTGGCAGACACAGGAAGGAGCACATGGATGCAGCTAAGAGGGTGTTGCGCTACTTGTGCAGTACGTCGGGCATGGGGCTCGTGCTTGGAGGACGGGCTCGAGTTGTCCTCATTGGTCACGCTGACGCTTCCTGTGTTGACGACTTGGCTACGCAGCGGTCGTCACAGGGTTACACCTTCAGCCTTGGCTCCGGCTCTGTCTCTTGGTGGTCTACCCACTCGTCTTCTGTTCTCAGCTCCAATTTTGAGGCTGAGATCTACGCCGGGGCCATGGCTGCACAGGAGTTACGCTGGCTCACCTACCTGCTGACCGACTTGGGAGAGGCGCCTCGTTCTCCTCCAATTCTGTACGTCGACAACAAGGCCATGCTTGCCTTGTGTCAGGAGCACAGACTGGAGCACAGAACGAAGCACATTGCTCTGCGCTACTTCCTTGCTCGAGAGTTGCAGCAGCGTGGTCAGCTTCGTCTTGCTTACATGGCCACTCGGGCCAACACTGCTGATATCTTTACCAAGGCACTTCAGCCTTGTGATCATCAGTGCTTTTGTACTATGCTAGGCCTCGTGCCACTCTATGTCAGGCACACACCGTATGCGGGTAGGCACGCACCTACTCGGGCCGTGGTGTCCTGTTGTTGGCATTTGCACTGGCTTGATGGTGTTATCGCGCCCAACATTCAACCGACCATGGATTGATTGAAAAGGTGGCAATTCGAACAAGGTAACCACACCCTAGGGTTGGTGTCTTTGCGAAAACGAGGTCTCGTTGTGTGATGACAGCCCCTTAGCTGTTGGCGGCAGGGCGGCAGGGCGGCAGGGGTAAAGAAAGCTTAACAGGAGGATGTCACAGTACCGTCTCCGTGCCCCATACAAATGGTGAAGAAATATGAATGGCTGTTCACCACGATTTTATCATAATAATACATTTCTTCTTCCATCTATCAGTCGATGCAACCATCCCTCCCTCCTCTGCTTTTTTGTCCATCCCGGGCCAGTATGGCGCTTCTGGGCGCCACTTTGCTAACGAGGCAGCATGAAGCCGAGCGTTGGTTTCCTGTGTGCACTGTGCAGTGCCATCAGATATCTTCTTAGAAATCTCAAAAGTAACATCAACATTTCTGTGTGTAGTGCAGCCATCAGATATCTTCAACTTTCCACTTTCTCCGTTCAGCAGCACACCCAGCCTTCCTCCTTCTCTCCCCCTCAAACCCCTCCCCTTTGCTGCACCAGCAGCATCTTCACGACTAGCATCTTGCTAGTCATGAAGACCCAACGCATCTCTCTGGCACCCAACGGGGCAGCATGGCAGACTTGTGAGATGCAGCAGCAGTGGTGCTTTTGAGTCGACTCAAAGTCTGGACTAGTCGTGCAGAGCCAACGCATCTCCATGATTCACAACCAGGCAGCATGGCAGACTCGTAAGATGCAGCAGCAGTGTTGGCGGTGAAGGCGGTCAGCGGAGAGTGGGGTCGAGGTGGGCAGGAGGGAGGTATGGGAGGATGACACATGGAAGGCTGACACATGGGAGGCTGACACGTGGAAGGCTGACACATGGGAGGCTGACACGTGGGAGGCTGGCACATGGAAGGCTGACACATGGGAGGCTGACGCATGGGATGCTGACATATGGGAGGCTGACACATGGGATGCTGACACGTGGGAGGCTGACACATGGGAGGCTGACACATGGGAGGCTGACACGTGGGAGGCTGACACGTGGGAGGCTGACACGTGAGAGGCTGACACGTGGGAGGCTGAGACGTGGGAGGCTGACACGTGGGAGGCTGACACATGGGGGGGTCAGGTTGAGGTAGCAGAAGCCATGGATATGAGATTGTGGATGGCTCTTCAGCTGATGGCAGGCAGTGCGACGTGCCATAGAGGAGGTGAGAGAAGCAGAGTAGGGGGAGAAATCTGAATCACACGTGTCTCAGTTTGTCCCTTCACGTACTCGCACCCAGTATTGTGGCTCTGCACTATTTCACCGACGAGGCAGAATGAGCCTGAGCTCTGCATCCCCATGCGTCTCATTCCAGCGCTGCCTCTCATCGCTGCACTACTAGTTTGCCGTCCTGCAATGCCATCGCCAACTGTCTTCCACCTCAGCAGCAGCACTTGGCTGAGCAGCACGGCAGGGCCATGCCTCGCAGTAGCAGCTGCAGTCGAGGCGGTGAGGGATAGAGGCAGTCAGTGGCGAGTGGGTGGAGGCAGCAGGCAAGTAGGCATGGGAGAGAAGAAGAGCGAGGTGGTAGAAGCTGGCTGCACGTTGGTCGGAATCTGTGTGTCTCCTCTCCCAACACCCCTCTCCTCCTGCCAACCCATTTTTCCCTCCCATTTCTTCCGTTACATCCCTCTCTCCTACCCAACTCCCAACCCCCACCCCCCTTTCCCCTTCTTCCATTCATCAAACAGCCGATTTTACAACCAAGGTGCTTCTGTTGATCCTTACTGGGGCTTGCACACTCCTCCAAAGATTTAGCAGCCGAAACCGTGGAGACAGGGTAACTCGGCTTTTTGAGAAGCATATGGATTACCATGCCACTTTCAATCTTCACAGCCTCAGAATCGGCTCTCATAGCTCAGTTGGTTAGAGCACCCGTTTAGTAAGCGGGAGGTCTTGAGTTCAACTCTCAATGAGAGCAACTCTCTTTTTTTGCAGGTCATTGCACAAGCATTGTTTTCCAACATAACACCTGCTCCGTTCTCCGCTCTCCCTTTCCCCTCACGTTCCTTCTTCCTAAACCACATTCCTCTCCTCTCATCGTCTTCCGTCTTCCCCACGGCCCTTCACTTTCCAAGTCCTCTCTTCCGCTCCCTCCCTGGCATCTCCCTATACTCCCTCTGCCCTCCCTTCCTTATTCCATATGATGTCATCCCCACGCCCATGCCCCCCCACCCCATTCATCTCACAGTTCCATACCCTTCATCCCATCATGCTCTGCCATGCCCCTTCCTACGTCACCCCATGCACGAGCCAAGTGTCTCTCCGCCTCCCGCATCCTCCGCCTCTGCAAGCCTTCACCTTCCCCTTTGCTCCCCCACCATCTCACCGTAGCTAAGTTGGAAGGTCTTTCATGCGAAACACAGTAGGCAGCATGGCAGAGCCACGTGTGCATGGTGGGTGCATGGTGTGTGCATGGTGGGTGCATGGTGTGTGCATGGTGTGTGCATGGTGTGCGCATGGTGTGCGCATGGTGTGCGCATGGTGTGCGCATGGTGTGCGCATGGTGTGCGTCGTGTGCGCATGGTGTGCGCATAGTGTGTGTATGGTGTGCGCATGGTGTGCGCATGGTGTGTGCATGGTGTGTGCATGGTGTGTGCATGGTGTGCGCATGGTGTGTTGAGCTCATGCTTGCATTCATCTTGTTCAAATCTCTCCACATGTCTCCAATAGCACCATTGGGTTTGTCGCCTCTGCCTTCACGTGGCCAGATGGCTTTTGAGTCGACTCAAAATTCATCACGCAAACATGCGAAGCCCATGCATTCGCCCATCTTGTTCAAATCTCAGCACGTGTCTCCATTGGCACCATCTGTGGCATCACGCGGCCAGTGCCTGCCCTGTCACTTACATGTCACCCCACTCCACTCCCCTTTATCCCTTAGCCTCCCCGGCCGTCTTCATGGCAGCTTCCCTACCGGTTGTGTGCTCTGGCCCTCCCCACTCATGCCGTAATGCCACAACTCCCTCCCTCTCCCCTCCCCACCTCCAAAAAAGCCTACCCCACCCGCTCCACCCAACCATCGACCCATCGATTTTTCTCACTCTGCCTCAATCTCAAAGCTACGGTCACCTGCCTCCCTATGGACGGCCATCCGAACAGGTTCTCCACTGCTCTTCCTCTCTCACCCTCCCGCGTCCCACCAGCCATCTCCCCCGCGCTGCTCTCCCACTGGCTCAGCCTCGGAGCCACGGTGGTGTGGCTCGGCGTGGATGACCACCCCAAGGCAGTGCTTGCCGCAGCTGACTCGCTTCGGACCGAAGCTGTGGAAGCGGTTGGGCAGCTGGTGAGGAGTCTGGGGCTGCACGTGGCCATGCTGCCGGGCGACAATGCGGGTGCTGCCACTGCAATGCAGCAGCAGGTGGGAGGGGCATAGCAGATGAGGAAGAAAGGGGGTGAAGTGGGAAAGATGGGGGAGAGGAGGGGGGGTGTGGGGTTTGCGGCTTCGAGCCTAAGGAGGAGAAACTGGGGGGTAGTTGGAGGTTTGGGGGTGGGGGGGGGGGGAGAGAGAGGGGAATGACAAGGGAACAACGACATATCGACCTTCTTTCACATTTCATTCGTGTTCCCATTCTCTACTTCTTCCAAGCTCCCTCCCCTCCCTTTCCTTCCCCCTGTTAATCTTCTTATTCCCTCCCCCTTCCCACTTTCCCTCTCTTCCACTACATCTGAATCTCTCCCTCCTTCCCTCTCTTCCTCTCCATGCCCCCTCTTCTCTCCCTTGTACCCCCCTCCCTTCTCGTCAGCTGCACCCATCAGTGGAAGTAATATATCAACTGCAACCGGAGGGCAAGGTGGCGTTTTAAGACGTCTCAATACTCTCTCTCTACATAACCCCTCTCTCCCTCATGCCGGCCCTCCCTTCTCGTCAGCTGCACCCTTCAGTGGAGGTGCTCTCTCAGCTGCTACCGGAGGGCAAGGTGACGGCCATAGCAGCACTCAACGCAGCCCACGGCGTCACCTGCATGGTGGGAGACGGGGATCAACGAGTTGACTTTTGAGTCGACTCAAAAGTAAACCCATAGCAGCACTCAAGGCAGCCCACGGCATCACCTGCATGGTGGGGAATGGCATCAACGACGCACCCGCCATTGCAGCCGCTGATGTCAGCATCGCCATGGGCACCATTACGTCCGCAGCAACCATGGAGGCTGCTGACGTGGCACTGATGTCAGACGACCTGCGCCAGCTGGCGCGGACATTTATGCTAGGGCAGGCAGTGCGGTGGGTGGTGGCGGAGAAGAGAATGTTGCGCTGTTGGTGGTGGTGAAGGGGGTGGTGCTGGGGCTGGCTGTGGCTGGCAGGGCGCACCTGTGGCTGGCAGGGCGCACCTGTGGCTGGCAGGGCGCACCTGTGGCTGGTAGGGCGCACCTGTGGCTGGCTGTGCTGGCCAATGTGGGCACGAGCCTGGGGTTCGTGGGGAACTCTCTCTGGCTGCTGAGGAAAGACACGGTGGGTGGTTGCTGGTGGTGGGGAGGACGGGGACTGGTCATTTGTGAAGTCTATGGCCTATATGTATGTACATGAAATACGGTTACAAAATCTGTTGTAGCCTCTGACCTGGTGTAATTTAAATAGTGGATCTTACCTTCCCGTTTCTCCTGAGATGTAACATGCTGAAATGCAGTTCAAATTCATCACCTAAAGAATGCCCTAAGTCACCACCCTTATGTTAGATTATACTACTCTTCTGTATCCTGCATTGATCCTATAAACCCTAGGACAGAGATACCATATACTCCCGGACAAAACACCCCCCCATAATTGTACACCCCCGGGTAGCTTGTGAGGGGTGGGTGTTATGGGGAGCCTCGTTTCTACTATACCCCCCTTTTTTGCTGATTTTCTATAACACCCCCCTTTTCTTACGAATTCGTTATAATAGTCGTTAACGAGTAGCTGCAATATTGAAGAACATCGCGAAAATTTCTCCCTAGATGAAATTTCGCGGTACATTCACTTACAATCTACCGAGATTTCCCCCCTCGCACTACTTCGCTGTGACCACGTGCAGGCGAATCTTCCGCTGCAAGTGGCAAGAGAGGTGCCACATGGCATTTTCGTGGGGGTGATAAAGCTCGTGGCCGAAACCCACATTCGCGCTTCAGACAGTGATGTTAAAATGAAAATCAAAACACCCACATTGTCTAATTAAATAATCACTAACACTAAAATATACCATATGTAAAGACCCGGGTAATATGTATTTTTTTCCTATGAGGAGACCCCCCCCATTTTTTCCCTGTATTTTTAGCTATACCCTAGGGTGCTATGTCCGGGAGAATACGGTAGGCACCCAAACTATGTTTGGGTGCACAACTAGGGTTAACCCTAGTTGGGGGTTGGAACCCAACCTTGGTCCAATTATTGGCCCCCAAGGTTGAGTTGAGAGATTATTGGCCCCCCCAATAATGTTGGCCCACTTTTGGCCAACATTATTGGGACCCCCCAATAATTCTCCAACCTAACTTATTGGTGGGGGGCCAATAATGATGACTAGGTACCCAACCAACCCCCCCTCCCCTAGCTTCAACTATGTAAGCCCGTATGATTCCTAATCAACTCTATGGTTCAATTCTAACATGGTTATCAGAGCTCTTACGGCCAACGCCGCTCAAGATCCTAGGACCCCTCGTGCTACTTAGCGCACCTCTCGCCGGCTCTGCCGCGCCTCACGCGCCACTTAGCGCGCCTCACGCGCCACTTAGCGCGCCTCTCGCGCCACATAGCGCACCTCTCCCCGGCTCTGCTGCACCTCTTGCGCCACTTAGCGCACCTCTCCCCGGCTCTGCCGCGCCTCTCGCGCAACTTAGCGCACTTCCGCCGGCTCTGCCGTGCCCCTCGCGCCATCTCGGCGCTCCCCTCCTCCCCTCGACCGTCCGCCGCGACGAACGCGACCGTCAGCCGCGGACGCGACGAACGCGACCGTCAGCCGCGGACGCGACGAACGCGACCGTCAGCCGCGGACGCGACGACCGCGACCGACAACCGCGGACGCGACGTCCGCGCCGACGACGAGGGCGGACGCGACGACCGCGCCGACGGGCAGCGCGGACGCGACGTCCGCGTCAACGACGGTTCCTTTACTCGTCGAAGTCGATGAGCCTGCTGATGAGGATGTTGTGGAGGTTCTTCCACCTCCCCCGGTTCTTGCTCCTCCCTTCCCCGTCGCAGATCGGCCTGCGTCGCCACGTGTGTCGGCCACCAGCGATGAGGGGAGCCTTGAGGCGTCGCCTATGGCGCCGGCCAGTGGCATCGCCGGCGGTCGACAAGGCGCCAAGCTCGTCGACCAGGATGGGAAGCCGTCGACGACAGGGGAGCGGCAGACAGGGGAGCCGGTCGAGCAAGAGGCAGCAGTAGGGGTGCAGTCGACATAGGAGCCGCCGAAGTCAGCAGGAGGTGAGAAGCTTGTCGAAGGTTCGAAGCAGCTGGTTGACGACCTGACAGCCGACGAAGAAGGGGAGCTGTCGGCAGGAGAAGAGTCCACCGACAGCGCCGTGGTGGAGGTGTCAATCACGAAGCCTGGGCTGCGACGCACAGGTCGAGCTCGACGGCCGCCAAAACGGCTGAGCTTCCACGCCTGCCTACCGCTAGCTGCCTTCACCGCTGTGTACGACGAGGTTGGCGATGACCTGTTGTACGACGACGTCGAGGAGGATGACCAACTGCCGGAGCTCGACCCTGACGTGCACGTAGACCCCGAACACCGCTGGGACATCGCCACGATGACGGTAAAGGAGGCGCTGGCGAGCTGGAAGGGTAAGGCGGTGAAGGCCGCCATGGAAGAAGAGATCCGCAGCCTCGTCGGCATGGGTACTTGGGAGCTGGTAGAACGCCCACGCGGGGTGAACATCATGAAGAACCGGTGGGTGCTGACGACCAAGTACCGCCTTGACGACACCGTCGAGCGCGAGAAGGCGAGGCTGGTCGTGAAGGGCTTCATGCAGGTGTGCGGTGCCGACTACGATGAGGCATACTCGCCGGTGAGCAGCTATGTCACGCTGAGGATTTTCCTCAGGATCGTCGCCGTCTTAGACCTCAAATTGATGCAGCTCGACATGAAGAACACTTTCCTGCAGAGCAAGCTCGACAGGGTTCTCTACATGTACCAGCCGGAATACTTCAACGATGGGACCGGCCGGGTGTGTAAGCTGCTGAAAAGCCTCTAAGGGCTGAAGCAGTCACCACTGCTGTGGTATAGGGCACTCGACGGTGTGGTGCTGGGCGCTGGCTGGAAGAAGAGCCAGGTCTACGAGGCGCTCTACTTCAAGGCCAATGACAACGGAATGACCTGCTGGGTGCTGGTCTACGTTGACGACCTGCTCGCTGCCAACAGCAGCCCCGCAATGTTGAAGGAGCTAAAGCAGCTGTTGGAGGATGTCTTTGAGCTGTGCGAGATTTCGCCGGTCGTCAAGTACCTCGGGCTGGAGATCGTGCGCGACATGTCAAACATATATGCTATAGTCTTTCTAGGCTGTAGTGGGGTAGTTCATATAGGGTACAACACTTTTAGGTTTCCTACTTGTACCCACCTGCTTGCTAGTTCAGTCATTCCTTCCTTCAATATTCTGACATGGTATTCTAAGCAGGTTCCCTCGTGGGAACTTTTTTTTTAGGGCCCACCACGATCATATTTTTTTCCTGCCCTGCCCGAAGAGCGCTTCGCGCCTGCCTCACCTGCGCCGTCGCGCGCCCTGCCCTAGAGCCGCCCGTCGCGGCCCTGCCTTATCGGCCCGTCGCGGCCCTGCCCTAACGGCCCGTTGCGGCCCCTACCGTCGCGGCCCCTGCCGTCGCAGCCCCTGCTGTCGCGGCCCCTGCAGTCGTGGCCCCTGCAGTCGCGGCCCTTGCTGTCGCGGCCCCTGCAGTTGCGGCCCCTGCCGTCGCGGCCCCTGCCGTCGCGGCCCCTGCCGTCGCGGCCCCTCCGTCGCGGCCCTTGCCGTCGCGGCCCCTGCTGTCGCGGCCCCTGCCGTCGCGCCCCCCCCCCCCCCCCCCCCCCCCCCCCGTGCCATCAAGGCCCCTGCCGTCGCGGCCACTGCCCTGCTGCCGCCCTGTCGCGACCTACTCTACCGCCGCCAAGTAGCGGCCCTGCCCTGCTGACGCCCCAATCGCGGCCCTGACCTAACCGCCAGCTGCGACCCTGCCCTGCACCCGCCCCTGGTAAGCACCCACGCCGCCCAGCCGAGCCGCGCCGCCCAGCCGAGCCGCGCCGCCCTGCCGCGCCGCGCCGCCAGGAGCCGAGCAGCACCGCCCAGCCGAGCCGCGCCGCCCTACCAAGCCGCGCTGCCCTGCCGAGCCGCGCCGCCCTACTGAGCCGCACTGCCCTGCCCGCGCTGCTCCTGCTGCTACTGCTATTTCTGCTGCCACTGCTGCTACTGCTGCTACTGCCGCTATGGCTAGCCCTACTATTCTTACCTTTGATGCTGAGGGGCGTGCGGTTGATTTTGACGTGTGGGTTGACAACCTACAGCTCTTTCTTCAGTGTGACTCTAAGGACGGAGTGTCCCTTTTCGATCACACGTCTGGTGTCTCTTCTGCACCTGCTGCCACTGCTGACAATATGATTCGCTCGCAGTGGACCACTCGTGACGCTGTTGCTCGCCTTGCTGTTCGTAGTCACCTGCCGTCTTCTGAGCGCGCGCACTTTGGCCAGTACAAGACTGCTAAGTCCTTGTATGACGCTGTAGTAGCACGCTACTCCTCCCCTGCCTTTGCTGCCCTCAGCCGCCTCATGCTGCCGTACCTGTTCCCTGACCTTGCCGCCTTTGCCACAGTCGCTGACCTCATTATTCACCTCCGCACTAGTGACGCCCGCTACCGCGCTGCGCTTCCCACTGAGTTCTGTGCCAAGAACCCCCGCCCCCATGTAAATCACCCTCTGCTACCTAGTCACCCGCCTCCCTGACTCCCTTGCTTCAGTCAGAGACCACTTTCTCTCCCTTTGCCCCACCGAGCTCACCGTCGACCTGCTAGAGGAGCGCCTCACTGTAGCTGAGAAGAGTATCGTTGCTGTAGGTGCTTCTCGCGGCGGCCCTCGCGCCCCTTTCTTTGAGGGGTGTTCCCCTGTCCCCTTTCTCCCCTCTGTTGCTTCTGCTGCTGCTGTCGACCTCATTGGCACGGAGGTCGGGGCTGCGTCTGCTCCTAGTGAGAGGCGCCGCAACAGCAAGGGCAAGGGGGGCAAGGGTGGTGGAGGGGACGGTGGGGGCGGCGGTGGAGGCGGTGGAGGAGGCGGAGGGGGTGGCGGTGGAGGTGGGGGTGGTGGCGGGAGTGGGG